AAGAGTTGAGATTAAAGGGAAATTTGTATTGAAGGGCAAGTGATAGTACTATCGCTTATTTAAACGGAATATTTGAGCTGAACTGAGCGAGCACAAATGAAATTGTTGTGCTCGGAAAATCCATTAATTTCAATATTTAATGCATTCATCTAAGTCCCCAAAAGCAAATCACGACACGACAAGAAAACAAATCGTTAAACATTTAAAACTCGACTCGCTGTCGCTGCTGCGAATTTCGGATTTTGCGATGCGAATGCGGATGCGGATGCGAATACTGTTGCGGATGTGTACTGCTGTGAATGGCAAATCCTTGACAAAGCTGTGCAACATTTTCTTACAATTTAAGTGGCAGCGCTTTTAATTAGCTCGCTTCAGCTATCGCTGGCAACCCTTCCCCCTCTCGCTCCAACCAGTGCCGGAACGCCTGAAAAGGATTTATGCAAACGCATCAGCTGCGGGGAAATTATTCCAAAAGCCACTCTCAGTGATTCCCTGCCACTGCTCTGGCGATTCATTATACGTACTTACTATTTACCACTAGAATCGCTGTCCTGGATTCCGATAGTCAAAATCGTGCTATGCCATAAGCTCTGTCATCAATCTAAACAGCTTAAGAGCAAGTGTCTTCGGTTACGCCAATAATTTAGTTCTGTTTACTACAAATGCTCCCTATGTATTTATGTATGTGTGTGGGTATGTGCGTGTGAAGTTGTTTGTATGTAGGCCAGCGAGAAAGAGATAAACATATTCAAGTGTCATACTTTACAATCTATTGCAAATGAATGTATTCCGATATTTTAAGCCCTATTCAACTAAAATGGAACAATGGAGGAATTTTTGTTTTAATTATTTTAATATTTCTGATGATTGCAAAATATATTTAAAGAAAAGGTATATACATATATATATAATTAATTAATGCATATTTTTATTTAATTATTATTTTCTGTACTATTTGTGGTAATTGCAACTTTTGAATTTATACTAGAGCATTGTCGCTAATCCCATTTAGTATAATCTCTAAATTGCTCTGAGCTAAATATGTTCAAGTTTGTGGAACGTATTCCCGAGAGAGGTTCTGACAAGTCTGTCGCCTGTTCAATAATCGCCACTGTCTCAAAATATGCTATAAAATAAAAATAAAATAATGTTTATACATTAAATGTGACCTATATACCAATTATAGTATATAAATATATATAATATATATTAGTAGTAATTATACTTGTGATTATAAATATATTATAATATATAGTATATATTATTAGTAAATATACCTATGTTTATATCACATTATATTATACATATTATATATTAATTATATATACATACTTATCAATATTATTTATTGAAAAAAAAAACAATAAAAGAACTGCATATGTAAGTGCTTTAAAAGCTCAACTATGTGAATATACAAATATAAGAAAACATTAATAATTTGATTTCAGGAATGTTTTATGAAAGTTTATGTAACAAGCAGAGGGAGGCGTGGCAATTCAACATAATGTATACATATTCTTAACGAACTATGTTGATAAGCAGCCACTTAATATTTGAGTATACAATTTTTGTGGGGTATAAATTTTTGTTTGGTTCTTATCAGCTTAATTATTTCCGAATTCGGTTGGGTCTTTCATTGCCAGCGTCACTTCCATTACTTCAAGCGGCGCTTGATAAGCTCCGACTTATGTATTATTATATATGTGTACTTTTATTTATTATGTACATACCCAATTCATTTCAATTTTGTTTTTGCTTTTTGTTTTTTGGTTTTTCCATTGTTTGTATTTATTTTGCAATTATTTTGACGCCAATCTCTCACGATTGTCGTGTATAAAAGGGCGCGCTGTTCAATGCTTTACAGTTAGAGCATTTTTGGAAGTGCTGAAGTAAAATCGACAAAATATTAAAATGAAATTATTCGTAAGCTCCCACAATATGTGCTCAAAAACGGATACATAATAATTTTTGCTTTCACAGATCGTATTCTTTGCCCTGATCGTGGCTGTTCTGGCCGCTCCCCATGGTGGTGGATTTGGTCAACCAGGATTCGGATCAGGTGGATTTGGTCAACCAGGATTCGGACCAGGTGGACACGGTCAGCCAGGATTCGGACCAGGTGGACACGGTCAACCAGGATTCGGACCAGGTGGACACGGTCAGCCAGGATTCGGACCAGGAGTCCACAATCAACATGGCTTCGGTGGTGGACACAATCAACATGGCTTCGGCGGTGCGCACAATCAACATGGCGGTGGACACAATCCTCACGGTCGTTATTAAGCATTCAAATTCAATAAAGATATAAGCCATACGGCTTAAAACTTACTGAATGCTACAACACTTGTTTCTTGTTAATTTTAGGGCACAAAACCGTTAAATATATATGTATATTTATACTCTTCATCAATATTATAGAGTATATTGATGAAAATTCACATTTAAATTTTCAGCTAATGAGTAAGGAAAATGTCAATGAAGCAGTTCAACATTATCGTATGATGAGCAAATGAATATTTAATTATTTATTTTATTTGTCTCAAAGCGCTCTCTTCGCTGAAAGCTGTAGAAGATGTCTCACACTGTTAAAACAGCTTTAAGGCATGCTATGCTCTAATAAACTTAAATAAATACTAATTCTTACTTTTATCAGTCACCAAATGTCGTCTATAGTTTTGAATGAAATGTAACACTTGAGTTCTTGAATATAGAATGGGTTAAAATAATTATAC